AAATTAGTATCTTTTCTCTTAAAATAAGATAATTAGATAATATGAACTTGAAATAAGACACTGCAATTGTTTTTTCTCATTTTAAATGTAAATTGTCTTGTTCCACTGGCAAAATGGCTCACTTTCGTCCTCAATTAGAGGAAAAATGCACTTATTTTAAGTAAAAATTACTTAATTAGATTTCCATTTTTTGCAGTGTGATAGTTAATCAGCCCCCAACCAGAATCAAACCTCCTAAAGCGTTGAACCATGATGTCAAACCTGAGGCGTGTGGGCCTAATCCAGCCCGCTGTGCTGATTTATCGGGCCTTCGAGAACAAAGAAAGACTAAAGCGGCTAAATAAATGGGAATAATCGCAGCAGATCTTGTTTTTTTACTAAATAATGAAATCCAACCTTTTTTTTAACGCAGCTACCAGCACTGTGGCATGAGGAGCGGGTTTGAAGAACCGCGCCATACCAGGGCGCCTGCCATACAAAGGCCCCTAATGCAGGAGCACAGCCTCTGATCAGGGACCCCTTAAAGCCACAGATAATGCTAAATAATTTTTTTTTTTCTAAATGTATTCCATTTTTTCTAATTATTCCATTTGTTTAAGTGTGAGGTAATAAGACTTTTACCTCAGAACCAGGGGTCTGCAGCCTGTGGCTCCAGAGCCAGAAGTGGCTCTATGGACCCCCTAAAATGGATCTTAACAGTAAATAAAAAATAATAAGAACCCACTGATTTGGTATAATAAAAAATACCAGATAATTTTATCATTATTATTATTTTTTTTTTGCATTTTCAGTGTTTTAACAAACAGTTTCTACTGTATAGGCACAGAACAGAACAAACACAAACATAACATGGTGCAAAAGGTGGTTGATCAGTCTTATACTGTTCAGGCCCACAGCAAGAATCTTAATAGTGTGGAGGAGAGGTCCGTTCCAATATAGTCCAAAAATACTCTGTAAAACGGGTCTTCACTGTGATGCATGACATTAGTTAGATATTCCAGAGGAATTAGTTCAAAAATAATTTTACGCCAACCACAGACAGAAGGATCTTCGTCACTGACCCACTGCTGAAGAATAGTTTTTCTAGCTGCAAAGGTTAAGATGTTGTACAGTCTTTTGTTAGCTGCTGTTTTCAGACAGGCACACGGCAGGCCCAGAATCCAGGATGTGGGGTCCATGTCTAAATTAACCCTCTCAGGCTCAAATTAAGTTATAGCTCCAGGAAAAATCTGATATTTGGAGAAAATGATCATATATAGTTCATATAGTAATATACAATTCAGACTTTTTTTTGAGAGAGACCTTCACTTGCAATGAATTCTGGGATGTTGCAGATTTGCAACAATGGCCTGGAGTGGTAAATTAAGACTGAAGACTGAATCTGATATGAACGTTAACTTTATTTGAATGTCACAAACAAAACATTGACAAAACAGAATTTGAAAAAAACATTTTCTCTCACAAAATTAGAGAGAACTTTTTCTTAACCTGTTTCTCCACCGACATCTCAACACCTCTGGATAAGGCCGTTTCTGTTAAACTGTTGCTCAAAATAGAGGCTAACTAGTAGATAAAGCATGTAGCATCCATTGGTACCTGTTTGGGCACACGTTGCAAATCCACAACATTGAAATCGAGATGCCTCTGGTGA